TCAACGGTCGAAAAAATCATACTGAATATGATTTTTTAGATCCAGAGTATATTTAATTTATATGCGACATTTACTTAGAATAAGTGGATCCGGAGCCATAATTGACGAATAGGTACTCGAACACGAAGCGGCAACGTCGCGTTCTGTGTGTGACAGAGAACCCAGTAGGCTACTTCGTTATAGTAATAAGGTAAGAAAATACGTTATCTGCTGATTTTGTGGATCAAACTTTGGCAGGTTTTATTGTGGAAAGACGTTTTTGAGTTTTTGTTATCGTGTGAGTGAATTTGTGTTATTTTATTCATTTGTCATAGATCAATTAGGGGATGATGGATAGTATTTTATTACAACTTAATTTGTCACTTGAGTGTGTGTGTAAGGGTGGGGGGTGCCATTTAGTTCGCGCGCGTGTGTTTGTGTGTGTGTGTGTGTGTGTGTGTGTGTGTGTGTGTGTGATTTTTTTTATGCAAGTTTGTGTGCGCGCGTGCGTGTGGGTGTATTTGCATTCATGTGTGTTCGTGTGAACGCATGTGCGTGCGCGTGTATGTGAGTGTATGTGTGCGTGTGTGCACTGTTGTGTTTTTTTAGTACGTGTGTGAGTGTGTTAGAATGTGTGCGTGCGTGTGTTAACTGTTGTTCGCGTGTGCGTGTATGCGGTTGTGCGTGTGTTTGCTTTTGTGTGTGGGTACGAGTGTGTGCATGTGTGGGTGCGTGTGTCGACTTTTGTTGTGTGTTTGTGTATGTGCTTGTGCGTGTATGTGTGTTCGTTCGTGCGCGCGCGCGTGTGTGTGTACGTGCGAGTGTGTGTGTGTGTGTGTGTGTGTGTGTGTGTGTGTGTGTGTGTGTGTGTGTGTGTGCTAGCGCGCACGCGTATCTATGTGCGCGCGCTTGCGTGTTTGTGTATTTGTGTGTGTGTGTGTGTGTGTGTGTGTGTGTGTGTGTGTGTGTGTGTGCTAGCGCGCACGCGTATGTATGTGCGCGCGCGCTTGCGCGTTTGTGTATTTGTGTGTGTGTGTGTGTGTGTGTGTGTGTGTGTGTGTGTGCGCGCGTGCGTGTGTGTGTATGTGTTTAGGTGTGCGCGTGTGTGTCTGTATTTATGTGAGTACGCGAGAGCGCGCGTGCGTGTTTGTGTGTGTACGCGCGTGCGTGTGCGTGCGTGCGTGTGCGTGCGTGCGTGTGTGTGTGCGGCGTGTGTGTTCGTCTGAGTGCGTGTTTGTGTGTATGCGTGTGTGTGTGTGTGTGTGTGTGTGTGTGTGTGTGTGTGTGTGCGCACAGAAAACGGAGGCGGAGAATGGAGACGTGGAGGCGGAGGTGAATGCAGCGTAGTATGTGGTGAAGGCGGAGGAGAGGAATTTGTGGTGAAGTCGTAGATAGGGAAACGAGGACTTATGTTGGAGGCGGAAAGAATAGTGACGGCGCGTGGTGGTAGCGGCGGAGGGAGCGGAGTTTTTTGTTGAGGCGGATGGAGCAGAGTTTATGGTGGAGGCGGAAGTAGCGGAGGTGGAGAACGAAAGCTAAGAGAGGGGTGCGGTGGTAGATGTGGAGGCGTAGGTGGCAAAGGTGGTGGTGGGTGCACTGGAGTGCAGTAAAGTGGGTATCGCGTGAGGACAAGTGAGGTTCATATAAAGGACAGTTGGTTACAGCGAAAAACAGTGTGGCTGGTAAGTGGATATCGATACTGCTCCTAAAGATGTTACTACGAGGTTATTCATTTTTCCGAATATCAGCTTGGATACCTGTTGGTACTAGAGACAAAGTGAAAAGAACTTTTGTTTTGTGACGGTTTCATCATAACTAACAAAACAAACCCAAACTCGGCATACCTAGTACTACTAGTCCAAGTGTTACAGTGTTAGTTACCGAAGTACACCTTCAGGTCACTTCAGCAAGTCCAAAAGTAAGGACTCATCATAACTAACAAAACGAGCCCAAACTCAGCACACCCAGTTCTACTAGTCCAAGAGTTCCACTAGTAATCCCGAATTACATTTTGAGGTCACTCCATCAAGACCGGAGGTAAGGTCTAATATCTCATGTAATAGTTCGATTCTATACCTATCAATTTTGTAAACGCGTCCTTAAAAATCTTGATTACGAAGATGTAGAAAACATGTTAACTGGTTTATGGTAAACACACACACACACACACACACACACACACACACACACACACACACACACACCCACCCACCCACACACACACACACACACACACACACACACACACACACACACACACACACACACACACACACACACACACACACACACACACACAAATACACAAACACGCAAGCGCGCGCGCAAACATGCACACATGCGCACACGCACAAACGCATACACACACTCACACACGCAAACTGCCGCACACACAGAAACACAACAGTACACACATGCACAAACGCACACACGCACACCCATTCACACACACACACACACACACACACACACACACACACACACACACACACACACACACACACACACGTACACATACGCACACGCACACATATGCGCACACACACACACACACACACACACACACACACACATACACACGCGCGCGCGCACGCATACATACCTTATGTCACCGTTGCCACCACTTCCGCTACAAGAAGGGGCGTTGTCGAGTAAATCGTTAAAAAAAGTCGTTTATTTCGACCACAAGGATCATAGATGTTAGTAATAATACAAATCTTAAAACTAATTTTCGTAAAACTTAAAACTATTTATCTAATTTTAAAACTATATATAAGACAGGCCCGATTAGTCAGCACGTGCACCATATGACAATGGTTCAGGTACGGACCTCAAACCTGTCAGAAAATGCCCTCGGTATACCATTGGAACTGGCCCGCACCCTGCGCACCAGGGATGTGCATCGTTTACGCATGGTGGTGTAGAAACAATCCACATGCGCATCCGCGAACATACCCGGCGCATTACAAAAACGAGGTAGACCAAACAGCACCCTAAATGCATTACATAACACGCAGTTAATCTGTAGCTTGTACCGCCTAAGATACGAAACGGCAACGTCGCGGCTGCATTCAGCCAATCCGATCGTTTATCTTATCGTTTGCAGTGCTTTGATTGGCTCATTTAAATCGGATCAACATTTTCCGTAACCATCGCAAGGTGGATTTGTATATCGGATCAACTTCGGCCAACGCTAGCAAACAGTCTCGTGAGTGCTGATGTTGATCCGGTTGGAGCCACATTAGATATCAGAGATGCATATTGGATCAACAAAAGGCGCCGGATCAACATGAGATTTCGGATCAACAAAGTGCTCGCGTGAAGTCGCGTCTGATCAACATTTACCGTAAAGAGATCTCTATATATATATATATATATATATATATATATCTTATCTGCCATGTCACATATCATAAGCGAATCTATTACTCCTCTACATCCAAATAATATTTTTTTATAGAATAACAATGACAGATGAGCACACAGTCCACCTGATGGTAAGTGGATGCTGTGGCCCATAGACATCTATATTTATCCTCTGAGTCAAAACGCAGATGTGTTATTTCCCCTGAAGTCTAAAATGGAATGCCTCATTTCCAGTAAAAAGGTTTTCAGTTCTCTACACTCACCATATAAAACACAGCAGCATAAACTGCTATTTTACACTGGTATTCTGTGAGAATGTGGTCCTTCTCCGATCGAGCCGACCCATTTGTTTTACAACAATAATATAGCTGCAGCCATCTCTACTCTCTATAACTTTCTTTATAGACATTGTGTTAAACATTTTGTAGGTACACATGACTCATAGCAATTAATACAAATGATGAATAACAGTTATAGCAATTCTGCCCTTTTATGGCTGATTAGCATATATTTATATATACAGATATTTCAAGTGTTCTGTTAATGCCGTAGTATGTACACCCAAAATAATTATTATAACATAATTAATTATTTATATATTATATAGCAATGCACACACTTATTCTTGGGATTAAAACCACAACCTGTAGAGTTGCAACCAAAGACTCAGCCACTGCGCCACTAATCTGTCCAATAACACTACCATGTATATTATCTTGGAACCTTGCAATAGTATACTTAGCTTGGATAAAATTGTAATAACCACAGGATCCAATTGCCAACATTCTCTATTAAAATTAGAGTTTCAGCCTATCAAAAGTCTACTGATAAACACAGGCCTCCCCATAGATTGTGGTAATCTAGTCGATGACCTTTTTTAGTCTGGAAAAACATAGGGTGTAACATGTGAACGGAGTAGAAGCCTATGGTACTGATATTTTGCAATAAAAACAATTTTTTTTAATTAAATGTTTGAAAAATATTTTTTGAACAATTAGTTTGCTCTTTGTCCTTGAGCCTGTGACCCTGCGAAGTGACAAGGTCAAAGATGCTTATTAAATTTATTGTTTTATTGCCATGTTTACTTTTACGAATTATGAATTTTTAAGAAATTTTATGATTAATTTGAATTTTGATAGATTTTAATTTAATCATTTATTTCATTCAAATTTTTATTTTAATTTTTTGTAAAATATCAGTGCCATCGGCTTCCAGTTCCTTCACATGTTACACCCAATTTTTCCAGACGGTAAAAAAGGTCATCCAGTATAATTATACGATTTACATATGTCGTAGTTGCAGATGCAGTTGGCAGACAGCTTGGCAATCACAGTTTTTTTTTTTGGAAAGTTGCTGTTGTTCATCTGCTGGATTGTTCCCCTCTGTCACCTCTTACAATACCCATGGGACATTAAGTGGTATTGGTAGTGGTATTCTCACACCACAACACAGTTGTTGGGATAATTTTATTATCAATATCCTTATGAATCATCTTTAGTTTGTATTTTCAGCGAAAATTTATCTTTATAATTTTTTAGTAATATCATATACATATAGAATTTCTTGAAAACACTGAATTTCCTTATTTTTCTAAAATCAATTAAAGGTTTTGAGCAACAAGCATTTGCAAGTTGATCAACTACTAATATTTATACCTGAGTCTGTCATTCCATGGTCACCAATGACATAAAGCAGCATATCTGAAGGAAGTATATCAATTATTTTCTGGAGTCTTGCATTGGTTTCCTGCAACTTCCTTGCCATCTCTGGATGATTGGGGCCATACCTATGTCCTGCATGATCTACACCAAGGTAGTGTGCCACAAGTAAATCCCAATCATCTTTCTTTATTTCTTCATATATCTTAGAGTCCACTTCTATAAAATAAAATAATTTTTTTCATTTAATACTATATAAATCTTCATTATGTCATCATAAATAAATGAAATTATAAAAACTATATCAACATCATCTTTACAGCTCTTCCATTGCTGAACATGGAAAAATTGAGCTGTTGAATTTTGTTTGTTAAGTGTAGGGAACTATAGTACATTTCTAGGGCAGGCGAAAGAAAACAATATCATCGAGGTAGCCAACCTTTTTTTTGGGTTTGTTTTTTTACCTTGTATCATTACATACATCATCAGAGTTAAAGATAAGGGTGTCGAGTGTGAAGTTCTCTATATCTCTTATGTATATTATTATATTATAAAGAAAGAAGATTATCTTGTACTTAAATGAATTAAAAAGCAAATTAATATAAATTTAAATTTATTATTTGTAAATCATAAGAGTTATTACAAATTTCATTATTACGTTAATAGCAGGTAATTAGTTTAATAATTAGGTACATAGGTAGTTGCTGGTTGTACAAAACATAACCACTTCTTGGCAGTCAGATAAAAAGACAAACTTTTAATGCTAAGTATTCTTAAGCAGTCAACCTTGAAGCATGCACAAAACTTCTCATAATAAATTTATTAGTTTTCGCGTATTCTGGGGGCATGGTAGTACCCCCACCAAGTCGAGCAAAAAAGCGGCACGGCCGTACTATCCCTTTCTCGAAGAAGTTCAGGTCTTTTTCTACCCCTCTATAACTTTGTTGTGGATAAAAATAGAACCCTGAATTTTCAATAAACAAGCAGGTATTGTATAAACATGGCATATTTAAAATTTTATTCAATTTGAACCAGTATTTTAAGAATTATAACTAGTCAAAGTTTCTTAATGTTGTCACTCACTGACTGACTAACCGATCATCAAAACTCTAAGGCACTTCTAGCAGACATAGAAGCTTCAAATTTAGAATACTATTAGTGTTTAATATATAAATCAAGGATAATCTAAAATATTTTGCAATTTCGGTCCACCAACTGCATAAATAAACTTTGTAATCCCATATAAAGGATTACATAGTTACATTTGCAATTGATGAATCAGTGTACTTGTATATCTATAATATAATGGAATAATAGGCGTAAATAGGTATGTTGTTGGTATTCAAAAAGTAGAAGCCATTGCATGAAAACACAACGTACCTTATAAGTAATACATATTATATTATATTAGAATGTTTAGTGTAATTGCCAAGGCAATCTATTTATTTAAAACATAAACGATTTTTAATATTGATGTGGTCACAATAAGATGTTGTTAGGTTAACTAATTACGGTAATAACTTAAAGACAAAAGGATCCTTAAGTAGGGACTGAATAGTGTTTTTTTTACAAGTAATGTTTATGATGGCTATTGAGTAAATAACATCTGCACATTTAAACAAACTTTCACATTAATTACAATAGTAAATAAGAATTAAAACAACTACTATAACCAAAAATTTTAAATCTCAAACTATCTACATGTAAGCGCATTGCAAAGCAGAATGAGGAATGAGTTCTGCTCCATCCGCTTCCTTAAATATGCATGAGACCGTAAATTGTGTTGAAACAGGTTTGTTATCTCTGAAGGACCGCTTCCTTCACACTACCCCGTACCATGAGACACGCTTAGCACATAACAATATGTAATCTATAAAGAAATTTATGCAATACGTCATTTTGTTTCGATGCTAACATAATACTTGAGGTCAATGTATGTTTTTTCACCTGCCCTAGAAACGTATTATAGATACCCTTTTTTCTGAAAATGAGGCATACCATCTTAGCCCCCAGGGGTGACAACACATCTGCATTCTCTTAATCAAGGATAAACGTAGATGTCTATGAACCACAGCATCCACTTAGCATCAGGTAGACTGTGTGCTTATTTATCACCATTATTTAGAAAAAAAAGTAATATATAATATTATAGTTATTCACATCTTTCCCGGGAAATTAACAGATGTAGGTGGCTCAGGATTATGTAGCATTACTTGGTGGAGGTCAATGTACAGCAGTGAGAAGAGGGTCTGTAATGATGATATATTTACCATTATCAACTGTATCAAGATCCCAAGTATGAAATGAATATAAAGCATGTGATCGAAGCCATCTGCCTGGCAGCAAGCGAGACCATGTGTCATCTCCCAATAGTATTGCTTTACCTCCACTTTTTACTACCTGAAATGAAAAGTGGTAAGTACAACAAACAATTTTTATAGGAAAAAATTTCCCAAAGATAATAAGCAAAAGTACCTGATCAATCAAATTGTCTTCTTGTAATTCCATAGCTGCAAAATTAGAACTAGCATCAATAAAAGTAGGCAATGAACCTGTGACTAAAGCCTTCACACGCTGAAGAGTTGTTGTAGGTGGATCTGCAACAAATCTGTACAAACGAGAGCTTTCTGGCCACTGCTCTATCATTTTTTGAATAACAGGGAGCTGATTTTGGTAAAACAGTGGTTTATCTATCTTCGGAATATACTCTGTAAAATCATAGCAAAGGGCATCTACTAATATTAATATCACTATATTGCGAACAGGAGCACAAATCAGGGGTGCACCAAGAAATGGCGAAACATGCCTAATTTTTATATTATCACTGCAAGTGCCTTTGAACCTATTTTTTTCCATCGCAATCAATTTTACTAAGTGTTACACAATCTGAAACGTCGCTTAAAGTCTTTCTAGATAATAGAAAACCATGTCCAAACATAAGAACAGCCGATAGTATTAAATACGAAAACCATATCAGATAAAAATAAAATGCCATTTTTCTTTCATAATGTCTTTCTAAACTTAAATTGTCTTTAAAAATTAATAAAAGGCATGTTTTAATCTCATCTAATCGAAGATAAATCTGATTATAAATTTCTGAATCCCCTGAAATCTTGTCCTGGATCCACTAAAGACAGAGTTATTTCTTGTATAAATAATGTATTCTGTGCAGTTCTGTCCTGTTCGTAAGTGGTTCTGTTTTAGAGAGTAAGTTTATTATTCTTTGGTTTTGTTCACAAAACACTCTTGCTCACTATCAAGAGATTTTTTTCTATGATGATCTTAAATCAGACAATGCAGATACCACAGGAGCAGGACACTATTTCTCGCTTCTAGAGGGGGACACCATGGACATGGAACATGGATAGATCTACTAGGTTTCTCTGTCTACGGATCTATGGGATAATAGGTTTCTCTGTCTACTGGATAAATGGATAGCAAAGAATACAGTAGGTACAGTACTCGTCTAGCCGAGAGATGGATAGAATAGATATGGATGACAGTGACAGACACTCACAGAACATTAATACCCTTTGACACTACCATTTTTTTATTATGTCTTTATGGCTCTGGGTTCTAGCCCTTCTGAGCCTATCTTTTTTTTTTTATACAGAATGGGGTCCCACATATATGCAATAAATGAAACCACAAGTAATACTAGTCCGTAGAAGTGTAGAAAAATTAAATATTAAATTAAAACCCCTAAAATAAAAAAGTGAATTTTCAAACAAAATAAATATTAAAATAAATTCAGTAAAAGTGAACACTCTGTTTAGACAACGTACCTTGACCCCTTGGAAGAGTGACAACGTTGCACGCGGGTGGCATGGCGATTGTCGGCACGGCCTATGGTTCGTTGGACAATGTGCGACGAAATAAAAACTTACTCTAAACTGTTTAGATATTTTACCGCCACTTTTTTATTTCGCGAAAATGGAACTGAACGAAATAAATATTATTGCATATTAGTAGCAAAATTTAATGAAACCCTAAATTTTAAAATTTTCAAAATGTCCGCCACGTTCTTGAATGCACAAGTTACATCGCCGCATAATGTTGTCCTGAAGCCTGCTCAACAAATTTCGTTCAGGATCCAGAGCCAGGGCTTTTAATTTGTTAAAGGCGGCAACAATACGATTGCGCAGTTCATCTTCGGTTTCGGAGATCTTTGAGTACACTTCATTTTTAAATAAAGCCCCATAAAAAGAAGTCTAGAGTAGTGAGGTCGGGCGATCGAGCTGGCCACCTGCGAGGGCCATAGCGCCCTATCCATTGTTCGCCGAACATGGTGTTAAGCCGCTCTCTCGCGAGGAGTACGGAGTGTGGAGGAGCTCCATCTAACTGGAACCATACCCTTTGGTAAGCTGCCACAGACAATCCTTCTAAATATTCTGTTATTGGGCCGTTAAGAATATTGAGAAATTTCTGTGCATTCAGGTTTCCGTCAATAAAAATAGGGTCGATTATTTGATCTCCGTGAATACCTGCCCAAACATTAATGGAAAATCGGTATTGATGAGCTGATTCCCTAAATAAATGGGGATTCGTATGGCTCCAGTAACGCATGGATTGTCGGTTCCATATGCCGTTTCGAGTAAACGTGCTTTCATCTGTCCAAAACACCATTTGTTAGGAAACGTTGGTCTTGAGACATTTTTTCCAGTACCCAGTGGCAGTAAGATTCTCTAATCGGCTTATCGCGGGGCAGCAGCGCCTGCAACTTAACATATTTATAAGGACGTAGTTTGTTCCCTTTCAGCACTCGGTGTATTGTTTTATGCCTCACTCTAAACACACGCCCAGATTGTCTAAGGCTGCAGGTTGGATTCCGATCGAAATGGTCTAAGACTCGTTGTTCGAACGAGGGTGGAAAGTGACACGGAGCAACTCCTTCATGAGTGTTGGGCACTATGCGCTGATTTTCCCTGATTCTTTGGAGAGCACCTAGGATTGTCCGGACGCTAGTAGGGCAGACGCGAGTTGTGCCGTATCTCTCACTATAAGTACGCAGAGTTAACGTTGAATTTTGGTGGCATTCGCCATACAATAAAACCATGTCTGTATACTCTGCCGCACTGTAAAAATGCTGTTGTCTTGGCATTTTCCGCCGCCAAAACGTATACACAAAAGTCAAGTAGTGTCAATATCACAGTGAAAAAATAATAAAATAAACGTACTTAAAAACACTATTTACACACACAAAGTCAATTAACTAATAAGTGTCTATTTCAACGTAAAAGAATTGTTCGACTAATTGTATTATAAATATATAATTGTATAATTATCTTACGATAAATAATTGCGATGCGTGTAGGCAGCGAAACACACCTGTATTCTGGGAGAATTGCGCGTGAACTGGAAGCCGAATTTCCAAATTCCAAAATGGCGAAAATAATAAAAGTAATAAATAGGGCGGCCACAAGGTGCAATTATCGTTTATCGATACTTTTCTTTTTACACTTACTTACCTACTACATTTGAATACAAGTAATTTTGATTTTTGATTTGATAACAATCGACAAGTTATTGATTGTTAAAAAAAGTTTATTTTTATACAATTGAACTTACGAAACTACCGATTTGTAACTTCCTGGGAAACGGGTAAGTATGTATGACTTTTTAATTGGTTGTTTTTATGGGTTTTTTAGTATGTTAAAATAATTTATTATCTCTAAATCTACAAGAACACACTTAAACAAAAAAGCTTTAAAGTTTAGCTTTAAATACTTAGGTCGTAGTGTTTTTAGAATTATCATAACAACACGATTATTCTAAAAAAACCATACCCTAAGTGTTTAAAGCTAAACATTTTTTTTGTTTATCGATTATTACTCCCTTTGAAAGAAGCTAATCGTCGATAACTGGTGTCCTACTCTACGACAAAGGCGCGCGCGCACTTGCGCTGTCACCTTTGAAGTACGCCGCGTGCCTCGTGCTGCTTGTTTATGGACGCCGACAAAAGACACCGCTGTCGATATGTCGCAATACCAATAGTTTGCACTGCGTGGCAACGTCGCTTTTTAATGTTAAAGGATTCAAGTTCATTGAATCATTGACTTAGTGACCCAATTCTATAGAGAGTTCAAATTTGCTTAAAATTAAAACTCTACTTTTGACCTAATTACTGGACCGATTACGTTCATTTTTTTGTATATCGTCAGCAAAGGCGATAACAAGTATATGGTTTCATTTATTGCATATATGTGGGACCCCATTCTGTATATTTGTATCTTCATTTTTATATTTTTTTTTCTTTACAATATGCTAATGAGTCACATTGCGAAGTTTTTGTGAGATTTTGACGACACCTAAACCCCACGGACAGTTGATGATGACAGCCACTCAAGTTCATAAGGCGCCCAAGCGATCGAATTAACTTGAGGTTTATAACAATATTAAAGCACTTGTTTCGTCGTTTTCTCTAACAGTTCACACGCGCAGTCACTTAATTCACAAAATCGCATCACTTTTACGAATTAAAATTCACTTCAAACCATTACTCAAGCGACAAATCAGGAGCGACAATCCTTCGATATCCAAGCTCCCGCCAAAACTCCGACACTACCATTATAATAGCAAAGGCACAGAATAAATAATAGTACTACGTACAGAAGTTTCACTTTTTTAATGTTGACTGCTTGCCGACTTTTAATAGTCTATATTATTATTATTATATGGATAAATTACCCACGTAAGCTAAATAAAACTTTATCACTGGGTGCGAGTGTCCATATTACTTTGCATCTTTTCCCCTTCCTAAGTCATGGCGGACTTTCCGTGGTTATTAAAGGATGTTAATAGAAATTAAAAATACATTGCGAAATGTTAATTAAGTTATGTTAATGAAGTACCTATTCTGATTATGATCGACTGACCATATTTTCGCCCCTATGTGAGTTCTGCTATTCCTAACGCATGCAGATTGCAAAGTTATTCATCGGGAATCGTGATGCTTGGTTCGGAAGAAATAGGTAGATAGTGTAAACACCAAATAAACCTGAAATACGATTCCTAACAGAAATGTGATATATTCTACTTAGTTAAAAATCTTATCAGTATACAAAGTTTTAACTCAGTATTTTATGTTATTATAACTTAAAATAATTTAATTACAAAAGACCAGTCTAGGTATGTAAGTAGATACTTGGATAGTAAAGTAAATTTTAACAAATTTTTGTAATAAAGTACTTAGCTATATCTTCTGTAGATCAAATTATTACTTAATTCTTTTTTGCTGTAAGTACCTATCTACCAAAAAAATTTAAATAAATTTAACTTTAATAACTTCCTCCTATAATCTTTCGGTAACTTAAAGAATGACATGAAACCTTTTGTTGGTCTTAGTTTTAGTATTTTAGTATCTATCCACGTAACACTTATAGTGGGAACGACATTTTGCCATTATAATTTATCAAATAGGTAATATACATAATATATAATTTATAAATTACATTAAAACTTTTACAACTATTTTATTCTACAATTAAATACACTAAAGACTAATTAAAAACAATTTCTACAAGTATTTACATAAAACTGTTTACATAAACAGCGTTAAAAAACTTTAACTGCGTATTACACTGCCGGTGACTCGGGATTTTAGGTAATTATTTCACGCAGGTAGCAAGAGTGACAGACGCCTGGCA